CCAACTACAATATGAATTAGAGTCTAGTGTTTAGTGTTTAGGGTTTAGGGTTTAGGGTTTAGGGTTTAGGGTTTAGGGTTTAGGGTTTAGGGTTTGTGTGTTATGTATAGATTCATCTTTAATACATTTTTCTTCATACAAAGATTCACCCCCAACGATAGAGGGTTTAGTGTTTAGGGTTTATATTCATCTCTAATACACATTTATCCTTATAAACATGCTCGAGGGTTTAGGGTTTAGGGTTTAGGGTTTAGGGTTTAGGGTTTGTGTGTTATGTATAGATTCATCTTTAATACATTTTTCTTCATACAAAGATTCACCCCCAACGATAGAGGGTTTAGGGTTTAGGGTTTAGGGTTTCTCCCCATCTCTAATACACCTTTATCCTTATAAAGATGCTCGAGGGTTTAGGGTTTAGGGTTTAGGGTTTAGGGTTTAGGGTTTGTGGTTTATGTATAGATTCATCTTTAATACATTTTTCTTCATACAAAGATTCAGCCCCAACGATAGAGGGTTTAGGGTTTAGGGTTTAGGGTTTCTCTCCATCTCTAATACACCTTTATCCTTATAAAGATGCTCGAGGGTTTAGGGTTTAGGGTTTAGGGTTTAGGGTTTGTGGTTTATGTATAGATTCATCTTTAATACATTTTTCTTCATACAAAGATTCAGCCCCAACAAAGCCCCGAGAGGACCTGCATGCATGGGCTCAGAAGGTTGCTGCTGAGCTGCAGCCGGTGCAGCAGCTGCTGCAGCAGCTGCAGCAGCAAGACACAGAGCTGCGGCAGCAGCTCGAGCAGCAGCAGAACCCAGACCCAGACCAGCAGCAGCAGCAGCAGCAGCAGCAGCAGCAGCAGCAGCAGCAGCAGCAGCAGATAGGGTTTGCTGAAGCTATACTAAGAAGTGCTGCGCTCGCTGCTGAATTTCAAAAACTCAGAATCGATAGACAAATCATCAGTGATGACCCAGAGCTAGAAGCTGAGGCGGACCAGTAAACCCTAAACCCTAAACCCTAAACCCTAAACCCTAATTTTAATATTAAACCCTAAACCCTAGTAGTAAATCCTGGGGGTAAACAAACCCTAGATGTAAACCCTAAATAATAAACTAAGAATAGATAGACAAATCATACAAGATGACCCAGAGCTAGAAGCTGAGGCGGACCAGTAAACCCTAAACCCTAAACCCTAAACCCTAGTTTTTATATTAAACCCTAAACCCTAGTAGTAAATCCTGGGGGTAAACAAACCCTAGATGTAAACCCTAATTAAAAAACTAAGAATAGATAGACAAATCATACAAGATGACCCAGAGCTAGAAGCTGAGGCGGACCAGTAAACCC